CTCTCTCTCTCTCTCTCTCTCTCTCTCTCTCTCTCTCTCTCTCTCTCTATCTCTCTAACGACAGCACAAAACATATAATATGTTACAATATCATTACAGGGACAGTCATTGTGACTTCGAGCGGTCTCGTCGCTCGACAATTTCGGGCATTTTATCGACGTTCGCAAAAATCTTGACATTAAAATCTCGGTTGATCCGGCAATGCTTGAATGGAGTATAATCTCGCGATGTGGAAAACGCTCGAATGACGTCGACACACTTAAAATCGTGCAAGCAAGTTTCGCTGCTTGTCGAGAGATTCACTTTTGATTCATTATGATTTAAGCTTAAAACGAAGCGGACGACTGGATATGTATCGAGGGCAGTGTTGTGTTGTTAGTGTGTGTTATGCAGTAAGATAATAATATCAAAACAAGATAAGATAAGCGTTATTTATTAGGTTGCCTAATTAAATGGAGACTCGAATGTTCCGAAATGGCGGAATTCATAAGAAGTAATTTAGATTTTTAATTTGGTTACGTAATAAAAATAGTTATATCATCGTCGAGCTAAAAGTCAAATGCGATAATGTGCAGCAGCGATAATGAAAAATGACAAGAGCGCATTCTCACGAAAGAGACAACTTATTACACTTTACCCGCGCACTTTATCCGCTCGTCCTTTATTTTCCATTATTCTTTACGATCTATCGATTTAACGATTTCATCGACGATCCTCTGTTTACACGATATCGTTAAACCCGTATAAATGCTTGTTCGCGCCGCGGACCATGAAATTTATCGGAGCCATAAGTCTATCGAAAAAAATTTTAATAACCGATAAACTTACGAAGCGCAATTGCTTGGCCGCGTCAATTCGTATCGCGAAAGATCGGCTGCTGTAACTTTTGTAACTTTGTAATTTGCAGTTGTATTTGTAAGTGATATTAATTTTTCACTAACTTGATACAACGTATCGGAAAATAGAGGATTCGCCATTGAAATCTTGCAGCAACAACAATTTGACACTGACAATGATAATCAAAAATAAATTTATTTTAATGACAATATAATATTTAGCGCGATAAATATAATCGTGTAACGCTAACAAAAGCAACGGATCACAACTTGTCGCTCTCTCAACAATAACAGAATTGCAAAACATGTTGATTTTAATATTATTTAAATGTAAAATAATTGAATCAACTTACCGTAAAAATAAATAAATTGAAAATTTTAGAGAACTTGATGGTTCAAACAGTAAACATAGAAATTTACATATATATTAATTTTTACAAAATATGTACAAAACACAAATTATAAAAACAATTATCAAGAAATTACGAAGCCTTGCATCGTGTTATTCGCGAACACGATCCATCTTAAAGAAGAAAATTTATTTTTTATGCAAATTAGAAAACGCTACTTCTTGATTGTAACAATTATACTCGCATACGGGGAGCCGGAAGAATTTGTTTCCCATTTTTACACAAAAGTTGCAGTCGATTTTTTTTTCAAAGAAATATTTTTTTTTCAAAGAAATTAATGACCGTCACGTTCCCCTCTTGTTTTGCACGCCAGAGGATGACAATCCATTCGCACGGAAACTGCACGACTTTCCATTAATTAATCTATTATGTACAATAGGACCGAGAGAGACGTACAGCCGCAGAAAGGGACACTTCGAAATTCGCAATGGAAGTGGAAGATCACTGAAATCATCGCGCACTACAGTAAGTACACCACAGAGATGTGTCTCCGCGATGTTTATCGTTCGCGAGTCTCAACATTTATCGTTCGCCATTGACTCTCATAATCGTAAAAACGTACAGGACACTTCCGAAGCATGACTCCGTTGTCGATCAAATGGCTTTTTAGCGTAATGCACAATTATTTTGGAAGATGAAAAGAAGAGGAATAGATTTCGCGGCGATGATCAATATTTCGATAATTAATATCCGCGTTAATTATGAGAGTTCGTCAAAAATTATCTTACTATTTACAATTTAGTTTTAGTACAAATTACCTTCACACGTTTGCCCAGTCAAGACTCGTCGCTCTCGCCTTATCTTCGGAGAGCTAGCGCTTTGTCGTCCGGCACACGCACGTTCATTACACACACGTCGTCTATTATATTTTCGGATTACACACACGTTACGCGGAGAAAATCTCCGATTCGTATCCCGCCTCGTCTATAAGAAGCCACTTACTCTGTCTACATTCGCGGAGAGGGAGAGAGGGAGGGTCGATAGCAAAATATCTGACATACGAAAATAGATGTATAAGATTTTCTTTACATCGTTTCGCTATCACAAAGGTTATCTACGGTACTGGTAATTATCTAGAGCAAGTTACGATTTGATATGTACAATACAATATATACATATATATCTATATATCTATATATCTATATATCATGAACAAAACCATCAGTCTGTCTGTCTATGATTTGAAGTTTTAATTTTTTTCTAGATAGGCCTAATTTTCTGGCCCCTTTCACACCTCGCCGTGCAATTTTCTTTCTTTAAAACAAAAACAAATTACATTTTTCAAGACGAACATTAATGAAGAAAGACGGCGTGATTAATGCCATACACATTCGGTTTAGGCATTTTGAGATCAAACGCGCGAGATATTCGCACATGACTGTTGGTTAAAAAGTACGAATAATTAAAAATCTAGAAATTTAACTTTTTTAATTATGATAAAATTAATAATAATAATAACAAACAATAAAATTTTAATAATAAAAGATTAAAATGCTGTGATAAATATAATCAAAGTTATTCCAATGGAAAATACTAGATACAGAACTGATTAAAATTGAAATAAATAGAATAGATCGAGATAAAGCTTGTTCGAAAGATCTCGTTTCAGCGAATATACATATATTAATATATTAATTAAACATAATATATTAATTAATATATGTATAAATATATATCTATTTATTAATATATGTATACATTAATTGGATCTAATACGTACATTAATTAGATCTAATATATACGCATATATTAATTAGATCTTTCAGACTTCGAATAGAGTAAATCACTAATATATTTATATATTTACGTGTACATATCTTTTCCTCTCGCCTCTCCCCTTCTCTCTTCCTCACGATACCTCCCATATTCCTGCCGTTCGATAATAAAACGTAAGGATACAACGTACAGGAGTAATATATACAATAGTGCACGCACGCGTTGCACGTTTGTCACAATTGTCGTATAATTAATCGTTTTGCATTCGAAATATTTACATGCACACTTTCTCACCGTTTTTTCAAGTTTTCTTGCAAAACGCAATGCAACTGAAATCGCGTCAAAACTTCGCTAAACTCACTCTCGACATAGAATAGCGTGGAAAATTTCTAAGTTAATGCTTATTTCAATAACTCGCGAGATTTATCGTACACGAATTTATAAATCTTCGACATGTTATAAAACTTTCGTTTCCTTTTTTACAAGAGTAGCGATTAAGAAAAGAAATTGGATATAAAGAAAATAGTATAAAGAATTTATTTCTAAGCCAAAAAAGAAATTGATAAGGACTATAAAGCGTTAAAAATTGATGAAAAATCTTCAAGATTTCTTGTATTAAACAAATCTTTAATCAATTAATGAATCAATTATGTTCTAATCGTCGTATGTTATTCGTAGTTGAATACTATTTGTCCTTCGTTCTTATCCCATACTATTCCGCGAGAAATTTAGGTAAATAATTACCTGCGCACTTTTCTATCGCTTCCGGAAGCATTTTTGTGTCCTCCACCGCCAACAGTGTCGCGCGTAAAAGTCAAAGAGGTAGCATTTAGTACGATTATATCGGCAGTGTCGTTTGGAAGCGGGCAGACGCGCACTGTCGGAATTTCAGCCGATTAACACGGACGCGACGAGCGATCATCGGCCGATCGACAGGCTTAGGATCATTGCACGAAGTTCACGTTGTACGTTTCGAGTTGCATCGGCTGCAGTCCGATCTCCTGGAATCCCTCCTTGAGGCGGGTCCCCGGCCTCGTGCCGGTCAACGAGGTCTTCGTAATGTTGACCTTGTCGAGCTTGTAGAACGCGGTTCCCTGCGCGAGTCTCTCCGTAAGAGGACAGTGCTTCAGCACCACGTCGACGCCGACGGAACAGCTGTAGCCCTGCCGGTGTAGCACCATGAGAGCACTGTTCACCGGGAAATGCGGTAGTTTCTGATCGTGATTGGTGCGCAAGTTCAACAAGTGAAGGTCGCACGGAAAACTCTGACTCAGCAGTCGAACTTCCGGTGCCATCGTGACCTCTTGCTCGCTGCCGTCCACCACGAAGATGTTCACCGGGTAGTTTAGAGCGTTGCTCAGGTGGTTAGCGAACAGCGACGGCCTCGAGTACGTGCCCTTCTCGCCGCTGATGTCCTCCAGCAGTAGCCAGTGCTTGATGACGGTCCGCCGATTGTCCAGCAGACCCTCGCCCATACCTCGCGAATCATCGTACAGAGTTCTGCGATCCAGCATCACTTCCAGCCAGCCGGGTTGATAGCTCGCTGCGCCTTGGCAGTGGTTCACCAGCAGTGTCAGCCGGTGATTCGCGTCCTCGATGTAGGCCATAGTCGTGATAGGGAAGTAGTTACCTTCGATGCCGATGCGCTCGATCTTGGTGCGCTTGATCATCTGATGGCCGTTCAGGTCGGTGTAGAATTCGGGCGGATCGCCGTTCGAAATGTCGGTTTGCAGGCGCATAAACATCTCGGTCTCGCGGTTCTTCGGCGGCGTCTCGAAGTCGATGATGTTGCGCAGGTAGATAGCCTCGCCGAGGCCACCGTCGCGGTGGTAAATGGCCACGTGGTGCGTCAGCAGTCTGCCGTATTCGACGGTGAGTCGGGAGCTCAGGGCGCCGCTGACGATGTAGATCTTCTGGTGCGGCGTGTACGCCTCGAGCACGTCCTTGTCGGTGTCGCGGAGGTTCGGGTCCGGCATGAAGAGATAAGCGCCGCTGTGGAACTGCGCCGACGGGTACGCTGCGAACTGCACCGCGCACTGCATAATCTTGCCGGTGGACTTCTTCGTTACGCGCTTCAGGAAGCCGGTCTGCCCGTCGAACAGCAACTTCATTCGTTGATTCTCCAGCTGCACGTCGCCCACCTGCATCGGCTTGATGGGGAAGACGTTGTCCTTGCCGCAGCGGCTGCAGTACACCGTTGAAATCGCCTCCACCGGTACCTTGTCGACCTGCTGCAAATGATACGTGGCGATTGACAGAGGCTTCAGTTCGGCCACGAAGAGCAGCACGTACACGTCGTGCGTGATGCTCGTGGCGTTCATCACGGGCGCGATCTGATAGGGGATGGGATTCTTCTGAGGATCCAGGACCTTGATTTTGTACGAAGTGATCTTGAGACTAATCACCTCCTGCCTGGGTTGCGCGAGCGGATTGAAAAGAACGATCTTTCTGGTCTCGTGACCGTTCACGCCAATCGGAATCTTCTTCGGTAGTTTCTCGTAGCTGTCTCTATCAGACTCGGCTAGCACGTAAACAGAGTTCGACTTGCCGTTTGTGACGGCCGCCAGCGATTGAATGGCGAAACTTTGCAAGCTCGTGGTATCGGAGATCGATTCGAACAGCTTCAGCGCATAATCTTTCATGACGAAGGACTTGGAGGTGCCGGTAATCGCGTCGTGATGCTGGAACAGACCTAGATTCCGCCGCGCCTTCACCAGCTTTTCAAAGTATGTCTCGTAAAGTTTGATATCCTTGTTTGACTGCTTGGCCAGATTCAGCGCGATTGTATACAGAATCTCGGCAGATCTGAGGTTCGCCTCAAGCTCGCGGTCTAAAATCTTCATATACGGTCTAGTGGTGAAGTAGCCGCTCCAATAGGCCGGTCTGCCCTCGCTAAAGATGTCTGAGTACACGAAAAAGTCGCCCGTCAGCGATGGAAACTTGCTCACGCGTTTTTGTATCTCGCGGAAATAGTCTTTCGGTGTACCAAATATCACTTCTGCGTTGTACTCGTCTTTGCGGCTGTTTATATAGTCCATCAGGATTTTGTAATTAGTGTACTGTTGATCCCACTCGACTGCGTGGTCGTACCTGAAATATGAAACATAACGAGGGAACGTGATTTTATATTGTTAATAGAACCAAGTTTATTTTACTTATTATTATTAAAATTATTTAATTACAAAATTATTTAATTTATTATTAAATTGTTTAAAAAATATTTCACATTCTGGAATAAATGTATGCCTCGAATTATAATTAAATTAAACAACATGCATTTTGGAATATTAAAATTAAGCCAAAAATATTGCTTAGTTTTGAATAAAAATAGAAAAAAATAGAAAGAAAAAGTTAAAAAATTAATTAAAAGTTAAAGAAATGTAAATGCGAATATTAAAAATATTAAAATAGATTTTCTGTATTTCGAAATTAAATTATACGAACCTGAAATCGTCACCGAGTGGCATCAGCACGACATTGTGAGTGAACAAGGAGCCAGTTCTCGCGTATTGCTCCAACAGTAGCTCGGCCATCTGCTTAACATTGTTGGGCGTGATTTCGACAGCGCGGACCGAGTACTCTGTGTACTCGCCGCGTATCTTGCGAAAGTCGAAGTTCAGGCAGACATGCGGATGCGGGCCGCACGAGTGTTTGATGTTGTAAATGTCGAAGGGCTGATTGTGGGTGAGCATGTCGGCGACGCCGGTGCGATCCCATGGCTGCCGCCAGACGAAATCGCCGTACTGCTTCTTCGCGAACCACTGCTTCCACGCGTAATGTATCCTCTGGATCACCGTGCCGGACGCGCCCGAGGCCTTGAGGAAGTAGGGTATTGTGCTGCCGTGGCCGAACGGATCGACGGACCAGCCCGATTCGGGGATCACGTCGAGATTCGTTTTCAGCCATTGGTGGCCTGAAGTTTGGAAAAAGAAGTTTTTCGTACAATTAAGTAACTTTCAAAATGCGGGATGTGCTTGAAATATTTGATAAGTATAACAATAATAAGAAAAGGGTTAATAAAAGCCTAAACGCAATGGTTGTTGGATAATTAATTACAGTAATTATAATAATGCACAAAAGCACAAAAAACTCCAATGTTTCAAATCGTTCCGAAAAATCCTGTTCAGAGTGTAATTTTTTCTCCGCTCTTTTTTTAGTACTGTAATTTTGCATGAAAAAGCCTTTTCTTATCCTTCGGTATATTAATCTTTTGAAATAAAAATTAAAAGTTTATTTAGAATTAGTTTGGACTTTTATTTGTTGTTCGGATTGCATTGTCGCAAATTTGAGTTCGTTGAAAAGGGATATAACTCGCGTACGAGTTTAGTTTACAGTTTATTCTCGTTTAATCTGCTAAAACTAATCTACAACTTAATTATGAATCGCGTATCGCAAAAGCCACGTCTGCCTGCCTGACGGCCTTTTTTACGGTGTGCATTAATTTGCACCCGGGAAAGCCTTTTAAAGTTCATCCAGCCGCGTTCTGCGCGGTGCGATCAAATATTCATAATGCGAATTAATCCGCTGTTTCCGTGCCCTGAATATTCCAATTCTTCTACTGATGATGATCGCATACCGAAAACGTAGACCCGCCGATTGCCCATACACGCACCAATTATTAAACGATTAAATAATACGGTGAATTGAGTCGATGAAAAAATATAATGCTGCATCATTGATCAAAAAATCAGAAACATCAGAACGAGAAATGCTCTTTGAATTGACCGTATTTACCAATCGTATTTTAGCAAAAATTTATTTTTATTTTTATTTTTATATTTATTTTTTATTAACATGTGATTTTGTATTGCACACACATTTTATTTTATACTGTTTCTGAAACGTATAATTTTTACTATTCGCATTTAATAAATATTATTAATTAGATGTATAATAGATATATAACGTTTCATACTGGTTAATTACAAAAATCAAATAAGAAAACAAGTATTTTCAAGCTGGAACTAAGTAAGTAGTCAGCAAACCAGAGTCAGCAGGTGGAGTTACAGTAGATACGATTAAAGAGATACGCCATTAGCAGATGCGAAACATCGGACTCGTCGAAAAAGTTAGCGACGACGTTGCCGCCGCGGTCGGGGAAGAGGGTCGTCGATCATGCCCGGGCAGAACCAGACGACGCGGAAACTTACGGCGCGGTGGCGAACGAAGCCGCGAAATTAATCCCGCAGGAATGCGAGGAGAGAACTCGAGTAGGCTCGCGCGGGAGATGGTTAATAGAATTAGCTCGAAGTCAACGGTAGTTTACGCGATAGGTATATCCCGCTCTCTACTTATTTGCGAGAATGAAGTACGCAGGCATCGTGCGCTATCAGCGTTGCACCTACCGAGTCATGTTTTTAGCATAATCTCATAAATAATTGTTACGGGTGTGCGAGTAAGTATGGCAAAAATATTCGCGAGACACGCCAAGAATTTACTCTGCAAATTAAATGGATTATGTAGTAGCTTCCATGTACAAAACTTTTTCTACTTTTATTTCATTCCCTGTTTTATTTTACAAATTATATTTTATTTTCATTTGCTGCGTAATGATAAAAACTCCAGAATCCGAAAGTACATATTTACGAAATTATAATTAAGAAAATGTTACTATATTTCAAGTAAAACTACAAATGTATAAATTCTCAAAGCAATTTGGTTATTTGTATTATTGGATAGCTCTTTTTGTGCTTTCGAATTATTAACTTTTCAAGCTAATTGGATTTATGCTTTCTTTCCAGCATAATTCAGTTCTACCGTACAATGCTTGACTAAAATTATTACGAAATGATCAGTTATTCAAAAAATGTATGAAAATATGAATCTAACTATTTAAAAAATTTATAATTCGCGATTTAATATCGTTTCCAGTGCATGCGGAAATTAATGTTCGCTTTGTGACGTGAGCATCTCGTGAATCCACCTAAAATCCAAATTCTCGGGGTCATTCGCAGCTCGCTCGCAACCCGGAAATTGCATCAATTATTCGAGAAAGCCAGAGCTTGGCCGCAAATTGCGCGTTCGTCGTACTATCCCACCGATGGAGCTCGCATTATTGTGGAAGCCCCAGGAGATAGAGACAGAGAGAAAGAAAGAGAGAGGACGAGAGGTGGGGAGGGGGACGCGGAATGGATAGTTGAGAGGAGAGGACGCGAATAGGAGCCAAGGTGAGAAAGAGGGACTAGAAGGGTGCCTAATGCGCGGAATAAACCATTAAACTGTACTCAGCCGGTGCTCGACTGATTATAACTCGTTAGAGCTGCACGACATGTGTGCATTAACGGAATTAACGCGAATTGCAGCGTTGCAAACCTCCCTGAAAGATTGTGTCTTTCTCACGTGTGTACCCGCTACATCAAAACAGGATAATTAAGGGACTTGTTTTCAAAAAGCCTGAAATAGTTTCTTCTTTGAGGAAGTATTCCTGAATTCTTAGATGTCGCGTCTGTTTTCGAGAAACAGAGAAAAAAAGTAATTTAATAATAGTAGAGTAAGTTAATAATAGTATTCTTAAATTTTTTAAGAACAAACTTCGAAATCAAGACAAGAAAATAATTACGCAAAAATAAGATCGTATTAAGTTTTAACAAATAAAATAAAATATTGTAAACAGAGTCTTTTCGAAGGGAAGGAGAAGAACGAAAGCGCACGAAAAAGGATCGAACTTTCGAAAAAGCTACGATCACGTTCTAGTATCCGGGGATAGAACGTGTAGGGAGAGAGTGCAGCATGTCGAGGCACCACATAAGATATGGAGGATATGCTACTCGAAGTAAATCAACGTGTGAATTTCTTCTATTTTTTTTTGGAGTAAACCTTCAACGTAGATCCCGTGAGACTCCAAATTTCGGTTTGGAAGCGCCACGAAGCGCCCGTTCCATCATGAAGTAAACATCGTTTGAAAAATTCTTCTTGTGAATTTTGCGATAAGTCGCCCTAAAATTTTTCACTGTGTAAAGTTAAATGATTGATCAAAAACAAAACGCAATTGAATCATTTCTTTATATTTTGCATGAATTCTTAATATTAAGAAATTAAGAATTTTCATAAAATATTCCTTTTCTTTTCGTTGAAAATCTTCGAATATTATAATTTTTCTATGTCAAGTTTTAAAATATAGATCAAGTGTCGGTGTAAGTTAAGTATTAAAAAGCCTAGATTCAATTTCGATCTAATGCAATTGTCGATTTTAGCGGAGAAAAACCGTGATGGTGAAGCGTGAATAATGCAAGACTTTCACGTTCCTTATCGTAAATTATTAATCCAGTTGAACATATTGCGATAAGCTGCCTTTAAATTTTCAAACACTTTGTAAAACAAAGAAGAACCAAATCTATCCATAACCGACCGATAATGAAAGATATCGCGCGCCACTTGTTGCTTTCATTCCTAGTTCTAATCACCGAAGCTGCTACATTGGTTCGCACATTGGTTGATCTGCTACATTAATTTTTACATTTTCCCCAGCGGAATCTGCCAGATGGGACTCGTCAATTACTACTAATTGCATTGACAGGCTGAAACTCCGACAAAAATACGCGATTTACATTAGCATGCCAATTTTTAATTCAAACATAATCCGTGATTTGCTGTCGAAAAATGATATGATATCATTACTTATCTTTTGGTCAATAATATTTCTGAGATAAAAATTAATATAAAAATTTAATTTAAAATTTAAGAAAAACATCTGTAATATTTCTCAATTTAACTTTAAATTTTCATATAAAAATATTTTCTGGAAATTTTCTAAAAATTTCAAATTTGACGAGAATCAAATGTATATTGATGAAAATTATAGCAGTTTTTTTACATGAGACATAATAATTTATACTTAAAACCCATATTCGTTCTCCGGGTTTGCCGCAAAACGAGGAAATTAACGGATTTTCCTGTCAAGTGGTATTTACGAGATCATCCCGCGTACATTGGCGCCGCGCGCTTCGCTAATTGCAGCTAATTTCCAGGGCTGGTATAGCCGAACGAAAACGACCGAGGGATTTCGCGACAACTCGGTAATGGACTCGTCTCGATGTGCTTCCGGTTATTATCGTTCCTCCTGCGCGTTACAGATGCGCCAGAATGGCACACGTTTATCTCGATCTCTACGATTCATACCGAGTCCGCAACATAGCATTCTAGGACATCGTAGTGTTTTCCCTGTGTTGAACACGCGAGTATTCGTATATGCCGACTGCAGCAAAATATTTCCTATCTCACTGCACGTTCAATCAGCAAATGTCATGATCGGCTTGTTTCTATGCAAGTTCCGAAAACTAGTAACATAAACGAATAAATTAAACATAATAATCTTAAAACATTAAAATAATAAATAATCTAAAAAAAAGTGTAAGTAACATTATTTTATCATTTTACGGCTACATTTAATTTTTATGTCGCCAAGTTTCGAATCAAAGGAAAATTTGATTTATCAATATAACACTTCTGCATTTTTAAATAATTCTTAATTTCAAGTTGTCGACATTGTCATTGTCTAAGAATGCCTTACATTATAAATTTATTTAAGCTATAAGAATATAAATATATTTATTTACAGTAAAATAAACAATATACAAAATATGACGCGATAGCGACTGCGATATTCGGATGCGAGATGAGACAGACAGGCGGATAATTAATTTGTCGTGTTTATGATTCATGTGGGACGGATTTCCATCGCAAACACCCCGGCATTATGATACGATCGCTCTATTGTCCTTACGTCGAATCAGACCGACCGAAGCCGTATATCAGCCGGCTATTCTGATCGAACAGGTGCGATCGGAATGAGATGCGTTCGCATTCGGGCTCGTAAATTATGCCGGTCCGTTCGCCATGCGTGACGTCCGCGATTTGTTGCGGGATGCAGTTGCGGCCGAATGCATAATTCCACGCGCGGAGATTCGTTCATAA